AACCACTTGCCACCGGAGGATGTGTAAACACACATAATTTTCCTTATTGTTTCATGGAAGACGTGTACACTTGTTTAAGAATTATGTTTTCATTTCTGTGGTTGATGTACATATATTAACACGTCACGCTCGGTTGGGTCAAAGTGCGGAAGATGATTTACATGTAAATGTGACCCACTCTGCAAAAAGGGTAATAAGTTGCTCAATGCCAAAACATGTTATGGCCTGTTTGGAGAAGACAAAGTTTCTTCAGATACATGTATGTGATTTTGTGCCTTTTCCTTAAATAGCTTCTATAACATTTATACTGGTATTTTCAAAATTTTTGACTACAAACATTGATACTGTTGAATAAAAATGAAAATTTGATCATTCAGTAGTACATGTAAATAAAATGGTAAAACTGTGTGCAATTGTTGTTTTATATAGAGTGATTTAACAGCCCTGCAACAAAGAAGTGAATAATGACAAACACCTTTGAACAGATTTCTCACATCTACTTTATTTTGTTTTTAAGAAAATGGTACCAGTATGTAGGTAATAACGCAGGTCAGTACTTGATACACGTTTTTGTGCCTTTTTGTTTGCAATGCAGTACATTCAGATTATAATGTGATAAGCAAAGAAATAATGATACAAAATGAATCCCAGTATTCCTACATGCATGTTTCCTTCAGCAATTTGGCTAAGAACAAGCAAATGGGGTACAAGACTGAACTTCAATGTGGATGAAAAAATACATGTCGTACATGAATCGCATAGTGCGTGTATGCTCACTGTACACGCACCCACTCATATGTCCATGTATATACAATACAGGCAGGCCACGTGCTCGCGCTTGTGTACGAGTCTGAACACGGCATCGGAAGAGTTCAACAATTTTTTCCATCGTTAAGGTAGAAGAACCTAAAGCTTTATGCTGAATATTGACAATAACAAAGATTATGTGTCGGCCAGCTCTTGCCTGTTACTTTTTGTTTCATTCTGGATGATATAGTGAGCACGCAGCGCAAGTCCCGAAATGATTATATGTCAACCTCGTCCCCATGGACTGCCTTGTGTGAGAGTGGCCGCAATATGGCGGCTAAGAATTGCCATGGGAATGAGGTTGATTGCATGTACAATCGATCCCTGGTGAACAAGTACGGCTCCTTATATTCATTTTGTATAAGTTGATAGATATGGTGCTGTAGTTCATTATTTGTAAATAAGGGAACCCGCCTGCCGGCATTGATATGTTCGCACCAAATGTCTGAACTGTAGTCCCAGCGTATATGTGCTTTACTGCAGCATATTTTTTATTTTGGACTTTTGATGGGGCTGGGAAAAAGCATGGGAAAAAAATGAATTTTAGCTCAGATTTTATTGTCACATTTTTTTGTATCTAGATTAAACAAGCCTCGAATTAAGTAGTGCATGACTTGATTTGCACCACCAGGCCATGCTTGAAAAAATGGGCCGTGATTTCACAAACTGGCCGTGCAAAACACGGCTGAATGGTTCGCTAGCTGAAACGCTGGCCGTGGGTGACACCTATATGCTATGGGCCTTTTGTATGTGAATCAGTTGATGTCTGGACATGCACCACAATTTTTACAAGGACAGCTGAGCAACGCCTGAAACAAAAAATTTAGGGGGAAAGAATGAAAATACTGATGCCTATATTCAAGAGTTGCCTCCCTATGTATTTTATGGACGCCAGAAGTACTTGTATCTTGCATGGGTAAGAGTTTGCAAAAAAAAAACAAGCCCCCAAAAGCTTTTTCGAAGAGGACCTGACATTAACTTGTAAAAGATGCATGCTAAAGTCAAAAAAATTCCTTGAAATTTTCAGTGAAAGATAAATCGTTTGTTTAATTTAGTCTCATTTTTCTGATTGAAGATAGTGGAATGACAGGTGCATGTGGCAAGACAGTAAGCAATGGATTATGTGTAATTCTGATCTACTTAACCTTAACTTCCGTAGGGCGTACCAGTATGTGAAATCATATTGAAATCGGAGGATTCAGGACTGTTAAAGTGCATGTTCTCATGGTCTATGCGGGCTTTGGCCTATATCGGCTGAATAAGGCAAATAAATCTGAAATAAAACAAAATTTCTTTTGCACATATCAATTCCCTGGTTTATTTTTGACTTACCTCCCCAACATCATAGATGAAAACTCTACCCTCTGTATCTCCAGCAGCAATTTGCTGGCCATTATGAGACCAGCGCACACGGTTGGCTGCAGGTTGCCCATCCAATGTCACACTGACAGTTGGAACCTGAGAATCCAACCAAGTACAGGCGGGTTACTGTAGTCTAAATGATGCATTTACTGACAAATCCATAGAGTGATGTTTGCAATTGTTACTGTTCTTGGATATCTATCATGTCTATAGCTTAATCCATGACTAGAACTGGGAACCAAGAGTACAATGCTCACAGAAGTAAAATGCCTCTTTAATCAGCAAGATATTTACAAACACTCAAAAACCAAAGGTGGATCAAGTTTAGGAATGCACCCAGTATGCAAAAAATGGACGCAAATGTACCTCAGTAATGACTTTTTGCCAAATTAGAGCATAGCCATAGGACTTACAACACGGTCGTCTCCTTATCAATGCAAATGTGCACAAGGGTGCCACTGACATGACCTACTGTACCAAACTCTTCGGGCATGGTAAAAATCTAATCCTTAGGAATAGTTGTTCACGGTACCTGTTGCTACATCTGACTTGAACCAACCAGCCACCACTGGCAAGCTTCATGGTCAAGTGGTTAAGACGTCTGCACTAGTAAGCAGGAAGTTATGGGTTTGAATCCCACCTGAGTACCCTTTTTTTCACAAGCTTTCGGGAAAGCACTGTGTATACAGTGTTACAATACACGTCAGGCAGGGCTAAAATCCATAATTAAAACAACCAAATCAACTTCTGACAAATCTTATTATTGGTAAAAATATTGAATGAATGCATTTGTTCTCGTTCTTGCAGTAAACTTCTTGCAGTACAGGTGCACACAATCATTCTGACACAATTGGTTCACTCCGTATATTAAAATACAGTACTGATAACTAACAATGCAACCACTTCTTGGGTTTGATTCCAAGTAGTACATGTAGTACATGTAGTTGCTTAGAACAGACCAACTGTCCCGTGCCCATAGTAGCACTCTAACCTGCTGATGGATGGTAATTATAGTTGAACTCAAAAAGAGCAATTTCTTTTTTGTTTACCTCAGTCTCATTGTTGAGATTCCACAAGTCCAGTTTGCCCATTCCATCTACTGCCGCAAAAAGGCCTGGGTGAATAGGAGACCACTGTACATCATACACATAGTCACTGTTGTCTTCAAATGAGTACAGTGGCTTGGATTGCTACCGATAAGGAAGAAAAAATGTGAACAGTTAAAACTTGAATGAGAATGTGAACTGCATTGCAAGTTGTGAATTATCCAAATTAAAAACTTCTGAAGTGTTTTTTATCACAGTACAATCCTCTAAAAGTTCTGAACTTGAGAATTGGTAATTTTATAGAACTTGAACCAAATAAAATGTTTCACACATTTCATATTTATGATGCTCTTATGGACTCTATCAAACAAAAATCCACTAAGTCAAGGGACATCAGTTATCCCAATATTCTGTTTACATTACACACATTTGATTTTCAGACTCCATAACCAAACATATATGACCAATCACAACAAAATAAGCGTAAAGTTGCATTGTTCTCTTTCCTATTTTGAAGATTCAAAGTCACATATTAACGCGGAGGTCAATTTTGGTGTTTTTGTAATATTTTGAAAGAGTAACCATCTCTTATTTCATTCAAATATTACAGGATCATATACATTTAGAGATAATACTAAAGATAATAATAATGCGGGCATGCAGGTCGGGGGTTCGAATCCAGCTGGTGGCCCTGGGCAAGTCACTTTACTCCCATGTGCCTCTCTCCACCCAGGCTTAAATGGGTACCTGTGAGGGCAGATTTGGTTATGTCAGCCATGTGCGCCTGATAGGGCAGCATGAGAGCTGAGATGGTTTCAGGAATATTTAGTTGTTGTGAGCCCAACTTGCAGGCATACAGCACCTTGAGCATCACTTGTGATGGATATGTGCACTACATAATAATCTGCTATTATAATTATATATTTAAAGATGTTATTTTCTGAGCAATTTTAATGACAGCATTTTTTGCAACCGGTCAGAAATATTGAAACATTGTCAGAAACAAAAACGCAAAGCTACCAGAATGTCACATTGTCACCTTATATTTTTACCTGAAGTGTTCCATGTACATGTCCATACCACTGGAAAACTCTCCTTCTGTCGAATTAGAAACTACCGTACAATTTTTGATTTTTAATTCCCACTTATAGCTCAATTTGTGGTAACAGGTCTCATATGTAATCCAGTGATTCCAAATATTTACTTTAAGACTGATGATGGAATTTTAACAAAGTATTTAAAGTTTGTTACTTGACATGCTTTGGAACAATACCGGTAGCTGGTGAGCAGTAGAAAAATACTGTATAAAAACTCCACCAAATCAAATTACAATACTCCAAAATTTGACAATTCATCAACAAAAATACAAACTTTAAGGCTCCAGAGTTTGATGGTCCAATCAAATGATGAAGACAGGAAGAGATGAGAGAAATCCAATTGTCCTTGGACATGATGGCAATCAATCCCTGTTACTGGTCCTTGGTGTGCTTCAAATGCTTCATTGATACCAGCTTTACTGTGGGATAAAAAATGGTAACAATATTACCAGTAGTGTAAAGATGGATGATGCCTGGATTTTGACTTGATTCCAAGATTGAGAAGGGGGATTGATGTTAATTGTCCCATCACATCAGAAGATACGACAGTGAGAACTCATCATTCAGTTCTAGATACTAACGATAGCAGTGAGCATGACAGACATACTGTGCACATCTATATGTCAAATACAGAACTTTGATACAGAATGATACAAATAATACTTTATTTACATATGATTGAACATGTTGAAAAGGAAAGAGAACTATGGACTGTTGTGGCTGTAAAAGTATCTGCATTGATGGTCACTAAAAATCAAATTGAAACCTTAAACTTTTTGCCACATTTGATTTTAAAAATAAATTCAGCGCACGAGTAAATGCATGTCAAATGATAATTTTAAACATCTTCACAATTTAAATTTCTGACACTGTGAAATACCCAAAAATGGGTTGGTTCCTAACCATCAATCAAGTGGTTCCTTTGTGCAAAATTACTTTCTGTGAGTAAGGGAACTCAAAGCTAGGGATGGCTATTATCTTGGAATGTCAATATCATGGTAACTGTAGAACAGGACTTGAAATTAAATTCCTGACCAGCTAGAGTATAATCTTTGATTCATGAGTAACATGCTTGTTGGAGCACAGTTAGTATTTAAATACTTGTGTAATCTTACGGTACCTTCCATGTCTACAGGCAGTGTACACAGACCCATCCTCACTACCCACAACAAAGTTATTGACGTCATTACTAGGGAATGTCATGCTGGTCACTGCAACTGACTTGGACTGTTTGTAGTGTAATTCCATACTGTCCTGCATGTAAAATGGGCAAGAGTACATGGAGAAGGAATGAACTCAAAAAATCTTTCACACCCAGATTTTATTGGCCACCAACACTAATTACCAACATTTCACTTCACAATAAATGTTAAACTGGTATGCGAAGAGATACTATTTCAGAAATTTCCATAAGTGTGATTGAAAAACTGAAACTACAGGTTTGATAAGCTTCGTAGTGTTTACCTGCGGTTGAGAGAGCATGTCTAAACTCCAGGAGCACATCTTACCATCTGTGGAAACACTGATCAAATTATGTGCATTCTGGGTTCCCACAACATTCACGCAGTACACAGGGTGCTGTTGATAAAAACAACACACAAGAAGATGATCAAACTTGACAATTCTAAGAAAAGGAAAAATATGTTTCAATAACTAAAGATGAACATTCCTCTAAGCACTGCCATTTTCGATTCAGAACTACCGGTAGGCAAACAGAAGAAATCATTTTGTCACATTTGTACGTTGGGCCACAGAACAAAAAGGAAATCACTAGGAAACTCACAGTATGTGCTGCTGCTGATAGCGGGGATCGCTGGACTGGAGTCCGCTTGGTACTTCGATTATCCCACAAGACAATCTGACCAGAGTATGTTCCACCAATCACAAGGTTTGGGTGGAAACGAGCAAAGGCTGCTGACATCACTGCAGACTAAAGAGAATTAAATAAACATGTTAACACTGGCACCTCCATAGACCTTGGGCTTAACAACAACATTTTGCACTAGCTGATTTTTTATTGTTAAACAAAGACCCAATGGCAAACTGACAAATAATTACTAGACTTGCTTAGCTTGAGAGAGAAAACTCTTCTGGATTTTTTTAGTGGGGCACACAGACATCTCTACTGATCAACCACAAACTTCATTACAAGTGCACACTGAATCCAGGACCGTAACTAAAATCAAGAGCATAAAAACTAGCAAGGGGTTCTGAGCAAAATGTCTTACCTGGAAGTGGAAGATAAATTCTGGCGAGGCTTCCTTGAATTTCATGTTCCATACTAAGGCCACACCATCTGGTTCATGAGGAGATTCTTCATTGTTATTATAGGATCCAACCACCAGCTCTGGGAACTACACATAAGGCGTGAAGTAATGGTCAATATCTTGCAAAAGGTTTAGTGATTTAACTCAATATCTAATTTAAGCCTGCCTTTATTTTTAAGTTTGATTTCCAGAACAAAAACAGGAATTCAGGAAACACAAACTAAAATCTAACAATTACAAGTTGACTTATTTCAAAATTCGCATTGGTCATGTTGGTGAGATAGACTTAGTTACAATATATGATACATGCATCAGTACCTGAGTTGACCAATCAAGTGACGTGACAGTGCGATGACGAGACCATCGCTCATCAAAGAACTGATAGTTCAAGGAGAGCTTGGCTCCTGCATCCTTATCTCTTGTAGATGAAAGTATAAAAGATAATGAAAAAAATAGGAAATTAAAGTCAAGTAAGGAGCATGAGGCAGGCAAATGAATAGTTCTGCCAGACACCAGAGGCCTATTCCATAATGCAATAAGTACATCAGCATAGACTACATCCTTATGTCTCCACTGTTGAGTACTTGCGAATGAACAATATGGACAGCATCCAGGTACAAAGCACTCTGATCTCGGTATGTATGTACATAAATGTAGAATGCCGACCATTGTGGTCAGCAGTAGATTATTACTCGAGCATGTTTAGTGCTTTTCTAACTCCATTTGTAACAGTAAGCATGTTACATTATTTTCTTCCAAATTATGAGATTAACTTTTGTTTGAATCTGCACTACTTTTCAAATTTCACTTTGCATGCCTTTATGACAATAACTGGGAAAGGGACGATGTAACCCCTTACTCTGTTTGAAGGCTCATTCACTAGACGGGGTAAGATTTGAGGAAACTGAAAATCAGCAAAAATGCCTCCTGTTTATCCCTATATCCGTCATTTCGACAATTTATTACACCACCTGATGTACCTGCAGTATCCTTGTTGCTAATTTTTCTAATTAACCCTAACCACCCAAGGGTTGCTGGACCTAACCTTCCCCAATCACACAAACTTCAACACCTTGGAAAAACACTCTTACCTCACAGTACCCAATCCCACAGGCTTCAAAAGTACCCCTGTTGCAAGAGTACCTCATCACACAAATTCCAACAGGTTTTTACCTGAGTAATTTTGTTTGATATGGCAGGCCCACTGCACAGTATAAAGAGTATGGAGTATTCAAACAAACTCACACACCATCATGCTGCATATCCATCCCCAACTGCTGGGATAAAGTGAGAAGGCCACAGTTCCCATTCAGTCAAAGTTCAACTGGGTATGTGCAGGCCCACAGTACCCATTCAGTCCAAATTCAACAGGGTATGTGTAGGCGCACAGTACCCATTCACACAAAATTAAACACCAGATAGTAAGCTACCGGTACCAGTACCCAATGCCACAAACTCACACACGTTACTGGTTAGCGAAGGTTAGGGTTACTTCCCAATAATATTCATCTTCCCCTTCCAAGCCTCTTTTTCCAACTGACTTTTGAGCTGCAAACATTTTCATGGATTTTTCAAGCCTGTATGAAGTGAAAGATCACCATGATTGATGACTTCAAGGGAATATACAGCCATTTTGATCAATATGAGTGACAAAAAAAATGCTAAAAACTGCACGTAACGAACGAAATGGTGCCCGAGTTTTCCATAAATGCAGCCAGTACAGTACTGCAACATGTGGCACATGTACAGTTAAAAGCACCCCCGTTCCGAAGGGTACAATCGTGCCATGCTGTATCCGTTACCTGTATGCCTCCAGCCCATTTAATTCAGGTTGAGTTAGCAGTGCCGAGTCCTTACGGTTTAATATTATACACCAGCCACTGTTCACTAATATTCTATTGCAATGGAGTGGGAGTAACAACACAAGAGTGTGTGCATTGTCAAACTTCAACTTGCACAAGTCCTTCATTTACTTTCGTGCAAAATTTGGAAATACTACAGTACTTCTAGTTCTGGCAACACCATGCCAAGTAAAACAATCCACGCGTCTGAACTCATTTTTCCAAAATCCAGAAATCCAGAAAAATCTGGACAAATCTCATCCCTCACTACATGGCTATTACAAGTTTCATACAAGCTAATGAGTAAGTCAAGATATTGCAAGCAATCTCTTGCTGACTATACACTCACCCTTCCCCATCTTCATCACCCTTGCCTCGATAGTCAATGAAGATATTCTTGTCTTCTGTCAATGCTCTCTCCACCACCTTGCTGCTATGGTTGAAGAAATTCAAAAATTCCTCTGAAGCCAAGATCTGGTCCACCTCTTCCTCAGTCAGTTCTTGCACTAAGTAAAAAAATGAATGTTTACCGATTGCAAAAAAATAGATTCATGCAGCATAGGACACATCTCATCTTCCCAAGGTTGGAAATGATCTGAAAACCTGCAGCTTACAGAATACATGACTAGAATTCTTTCAAGACATCCCTATCTTGCATTTCAATTTTGCCATACACAAGTTTTCAATCTTCAGTTACATCAGGTGTTTACACTTCTCACAATACATGAACTTGAAAGACATATAGAATCTTTATCCAGAAGGTAATGCTTTTGCATCTAAATGTAATTTATGAATGACAGTTTGCAAATATTTAATTGTACATGTATATAGAAGTACCTTTCTGTTCTTCTTCTTTCTCTTCTTCAATTAGTGGTGCTTCAGGGACAGGAGTGACAACTGCTGGTGCTGGAGTCACTGGCATATCTTCCTCATCATCTGTCACATACATGTAAACACTTAGTGATTACTGGTCATGCTTCATTTTGTGAAAGATTCAAAAAGATTACACACAGATTATCAAAGACACTAATATATCTGGTGAAGTTTTACTTTTTGATTTGACAACTGTGAGTGCACTTTACTTACACAAAGGAGCAGGAAATGATTTACTTCTGTCAGAACAGCATATTCCTGCATATTTTAACATTAATTTTCCTAATCTGTAATCTGAGTCTGTGATTTTTACCTGTGCATAAATTTGTTTTGTGGATACATTTTTTCAACTGAAACTTGCCAAAAATTTTAGTTATTATAAACGTCCTCTGAAGTTTTCACAAGTTTGTTCTCATGGAAAAAATCTTATTTAAAATGTTGTAAGGTAGACTAGATCTGAATCACCATCTCTTGCTGATGGTACTACACGTAGATAGGTACACATATTTTCTTCAATGATCCAAACTGCACCTGCTCAATCAAAATTGAATTCCACTCCAACTGCATCGGAATGCTTGTGTTGTGGCAACATCAACTGCAGCTGTTTCTTTTTTTAAAGGCTACTTTTTACCAGATCATTACAGACGTGGGTACAGTATCTCTAAATGTCTGCAAAGGTATTCCAATGAGAATGGCAAGATGGCATGAGTAACCATCAGTTTATATCACATACTTTTCTGATCAACCTGGTAATACATGTAGCAGGAATAGGAAACAATGTATGCAAACTTGTCAGAGGACATGCATTCCCTCAAACATGACAAATAAAAGGTACCACTGGAACCATCCAAAACATGCTCTACACTCTAATATGCTACAGGTTGCAACACTTCTAAGGTACACTGTACACTACTGTGTATGGGCACACATACACACACATGTACTCCATGCTAGCTACATGAACACATGCAGGTACATGTACACGTATGTGATTATTGGCCTATAAGATACCGTATCACCAGAAAGTATGGCTATTATCAAACCATGGCATAAAAGCACATTACATGTGCTTGTTGGAAGGGCCTCTACATTTTTGGACACACAAATAGAGTAATCATGTACATGTACATATATACACGTAAATACCAGTTAATGAATGCATGGCACATACATTTCAAACCTGCTTGTACATGTATTTACCACTCAAAGTGAAGTGGGGGGGGCAATCCCTCCAAACCTCTGTACCTGTCACAAGGTTTCTAAACCAAATTTGATAACATTGCTTATAGCTTCGCTTCAGCAATACTGGTAGGTTCTACATGTACATGTGTGGCCTTGGTCAACATGGTCAAGGTGTTTATCCTGGCTCAGCTGATTTGCATATTTCTGAGGCCGCATGTGGTTGCTCTTCACCTTGATTTTGCAATGTACATGTATGCAGGTATGTACATGTACATGTATGTACGCAGGTGCTAACCGGTAGGTCAGTGAGTGGCTGGTGCGTGCTGCACTGTGACGAATGACAAACACCTTGACCAAGGCTAATACATGTGTAACACATCAAAC